CATCGGAAGCCCTGAGCAACCGCGCCCTTCCACATCAACAAGTTTCATGTCCTCGCCAGTTCAACTGCCCAAGTTACAGCTGCCGACGTTCAGTGGAGACCCTACAAATTACCTTTTCGACGCGTTCCAGTCGCTCGTACACACGAACGCGAGTTTGTCTGCTAGTCAAAAATTGCATTATTTGCGCAATTGTCTTCAAAGTGAGGCGCTCCAACTTGTAAGCAGCCTACAGATTTGTGATGGCAACTACAATGCTGCGTGGGATCTACTCACCACGCGTTACAAGGTTTTGCGTGTCATGGTTGATGGTCACTTCAAAGCAATTTTTGCAATTGAAAAGGCATCTCGAGATACTGGTAAGGCCATTAAGCAAGTTTTAAACGCTACCATGCAACACGTTGGCTCGCTACGTGCTTTAGGTCGGCCTGTGGAGATTTGGGACGATTGGCTTGTCCACCTTACCGTTTCGAAGTTGGCTTACGAAACCCGGAAACAATGGGAGCTGTCATTGGTGAGGGATGTTTTACCTACTTTTGAAGAGTTGGTCGAGTTTTTGGAAACACGTGCGCGTTCGCTAGAGATGGTGCCGACGAGTGGTGCGCTGTCAACCTCAGCGCAAGGAGTGCGCCAGCTCAGCAAAACTGCGGCGAAGACTACAACAAACGTGCTCCATGCGATTGGTGAGCAACACACCTCCTCATCCAACCTGATTGATGCAGGAGCCAGTTCACCCTCATGTTTCCATTGCAACGCCAAACACAAAATTTACGCCTGCCCAACTTTCCGTAAATTAAATACTGCTGCCCGGTTTGTATTGGTCAAGAAACATAATGTTTGTCTCAACTGTCTGAGCAAAGGCCACTTTCAAGCAAAATGTCGCAGTTTATCAACTTGTAACATATGCCGTCGCCGTCATCATACATTACTACATGGCTGCCGCGAAGATGACACGACCAGCGATGAGCTGAATGTACACGCTTCTCCGTTTGTAAAGCAGCAAGGCAATCTACTTGTGCAACAATCGACTACGTGATCTACAATCGATGACTCTACTACGGCGCGTATACATTATGCTAGCTCGGATGTACCGCATTCTGGTTGCGTAGCATCTCACGTCGCTGAAGCTGACAAGGCCATTTTATTGGCAACCGCAGAAATATATTTGCAAGATCATGCAGGGCGATGGCAACCTGCTCGGGTGTTGTTTGACAACGGCTCACATGCATCCTTCGTGACAGAGGCCTGTATTCAACGCCTCCGTCTACAAAGGAAACCTTCGGCAGCTCATGTCACAGGTATTGGTTCAACAGATGGCGGTAAAGTTAAGGGTGAGACTATTCTTTCACTTGCGCCCCGATCTCTTGACCAGCATTTCACAATCAACTCGCTTATTTTATCGAAGATTACAAACGATCTTCCCAGCGTTTGTGTACAGATGTCGTCTTGGCCGCACTTACGAAATCTCGCTCTTGCTGATCAGCATTACGCCAAACCTGGTCCTATTGATGTGTTAATAGGGATGGATGAGATGGATAAATTCCTGTTAACCGGTCTCTGCAAAGGGCCACCTGACACACCCATGGCGCAAAACACAGTTTTCGGTTGGGTACTTTTCGGAAAGGCCATGCGTTCATCCAGCTCAAGTGCGGGAGTTTTATCCTTGCACTGTGATGTGCAACTCATCCGAATGGTGAGTAAGTTTTGGGAGCTCGAAGAGTTTCCCCCCAAGCGATACTTAACTGTCGAAGAGGAGGCTTGTGAAGGGCATTTTCGCAAGCATTGTCGCCGCGCTGAAGACGGGCGTTACATCGTACGCCTCCCGTTAAAGGAATCCGTGCCTTTAGGTGAGTCGAGAAACATATCCGTAAGAAGTCTGCTAAGAATGGAAAAACGTTTCGCTGTTGATGAGGAGCTACGCCGTCAATACGCAGAATTTATGCAGGAGCTTTTAAATATGGGCCACATGGAGCTCGTAGGCAACGCTCAACCGCATAAAAGTTACTACATGCCACACCACGCTGTAGTAAAGAACACCAGCTCCACCACTAAACTGAGAGTGGTGTTCAACGCCTCATGTAAAACCACATCCGGTTTCTCGCTCAACGATGCACTAATGATAGGCCCGCAATTACAAGAGGATCTGTTTTCTATAATGGTGCGGTTCCGGACTCATCGTTACGCAATAATGGCGGATGTCGAAAAAATGTATCGACAGGTATACGTGGCAGAACAAGATGTGGACTACCAACGCATAGTTTGGCGTGACGACCCAACCGAACCTATTCGGGACTATCGCATGCTTCGTGTAACCTACGGCGTCGCCGCAGCTTCCCACTTGGCCGTACGATCTCTGCACCAATCCGCTTTGGATGCCATCGAAACGCACAAAGAAGCAACTGTTGTCATCATGCGCGACTTCTACATGGATGATCTTCTCACAGGCTCATTTTCTGTCGACAACCTTATGAAGCTACGAAATGACGTTGCCATAGTTCTGTCTAACGCTGGCTTCGAATTACGGAAGTGGGCTACAAATTGCGACGAGCTTAGGGAGAAAATACCGCATGCGTCAAAGCAAATTTCACATCTGTTAGCTGACGGCGATGAAGTACGCACCCTAGGAATCATTTGGAACACAAGCGACGATTGTTTATCGATTGCAGTGGATTTGACCCCACTGCCTGCAATTCTTACGAAAAGAGTTTTTCTCTCAGATTCGAGTAAAGTCTTCGACCCACTCGGGCTAATCGCGCCGTGCACTATACTCTCGAAAATTTGGCTCCAGCGAATCTGGCGAGCGGACGTTGATTGGGATGAACCGGTGCCCGCCGATGTCGCTGAAGAGTGGCTCTCTCACCGTCAGCAACTACCTAAACTCACGGCTCTTAAGCTAAATCGTTGGATTGGTACCAGTGAAATCGTCGAGCATGCTGAATACCACGTTTTCACGGATGCATCTCAACGTGCCTACGCTGCGGTACTCTACTGCCGCACGCAACTACCCGATGGAACTTTTAAGGTCGTTCCAGTCGCCGCGCGCGCGAAGGTCGCACCTTTAAAAAGTACTACTCTCCCACGTCTGGAATTGTGCGCAGCGCATTTAGGCGCCAAGCTTGTCAAGCAGGTTCAGTTGAGTTTCGGTTGCAATATGAAGAATTTATACGCGTGGACCGACTCAACTATAACGCTAGCTTGGTTACAGAGTCACCCAAGTCGATGGTCAGTCTTCGTTGCGAATCGCGTAGCCGCAGTACAAGAAGTTATAGCTCCTGAGTGCTGGAGACACGTCCGCTCAGAGCACAATCCAGCTGACTGCGCGTCTAGAGGCTTGGCTCCGTCGAATCTACTCGCCCATTATCTTTGGTGGCAAGGGCCAAGTTGGTTAGCTGAAAATGACGATCAGTGGCAGCATCAAGCAACAGAAGACTTGGAGTTGCTGACAAGGCGTAACTCGGACATGAGTTCCGAATTACGAGCGACCAAATCCGCATCACACCTCACCCAAACTGCAGAAGATTGGGAACTATTGTCAAGGTATCATTCGTATATTAAACTCAAGAGAATTACAGCCTATGCTCTACGTTTCGTCAACAACTTAAGAACAACTAGCAGTCAACGCACTACTGGCGCCCTCACCAGCAGTGAAATTCTCCACGCTGAAAATGCACTGGTAAAGTATATCCAAACTAACGCTTTTCCAAAGGAAATTACTTGTTGCAGGTTAACCAAACAAATACCATTACGAAGTCGTCTAATCCGTCTTCAACCATTTTTGGATGTTGATGGCATTCTTCGTGTTAGCGGACGAATAAAACGAGCTTCTGTCTCCACAGGCGTCAAGCACCCGATAATCTTACCGAAGAACTCGTCGCTGGCGAAACTCATAATATCCGATATTCACCGCAGTACGCTCCACGCCGGCCCGCAAATCATGCAAACAGTTCTACAACGTCGCTTCTGGGTTCTGGGTTCTCGTAATCTTGTTCGCGCAATCTACCACAAATGTGTAAAATGTAAACGCATTAACCGCCGACCGTTGGGTCAAGTAATGTCGGATCTACCAAGCAGCCGCCTTACGAGTTCTCGATGTTTTCTGCACAGCGCCGTCGACTTTGCGGGACCCTATTTTATAAAGTTTTCACGAGGCAGAGGAGCCAAATCATGCAAGGCGTATATATGCAGTTTCATATGCATGAGTACTGGTGCAATGCACCTCGAGCTCGTTGGAGATCTCTCTTCACCTGCGTTTGTCGCCGCTCTCTCTAGATTTGTAAACAGAAGAGGTTATTGTCAGCATGTATACTCGGACAACGGCACTAATTTCGTTGGTGCCGAAAGAGAGTTATACGCCGCCTACCGCCGTTGCATGAGAGATGAAAAGCTTACCTCGTATTTGGCGAACATGCAAATAACATGGCACTTTAATCCGCCAAGCGCACCACATATGGGTGGTTATTGGGAGCCTGCCGCTGCTGTGAAGCGAGTAAAATACCACTTAAAGCGTGCTCTCGGTAGCTCTTTATTAACATACGAAGAACTTGCTACGCTTTTAACGGAGGTGGAAGCTTGTGTCAACTCGCGACCGCTCTATTGGCACTCTGCTAGTGCTGATGATTTGGAAATCCTCACTCCTGGTCATTTCTTGATTGGTGAGCCAATCAAGGCGCTGCCTGAACCTGACACCGAAAATTTCTCAGGGACGTTACATCAACGATGGCAAGCCATTAGTGCAATGCGGCAACATTTTTGGTCACGTTGGCGAAACGAATATGTCGTCAACCTACAACAACGAGTTAAATGGTTTCGCCCCTCCTCGAACCTGAAAGAAGATGACGTTGTTATCATTCACGATTCGAATAGCCCACCCACTAAATGGCGACTTGGGCGTGTAACTCAGTGTCATCCTGGTGCGGATGGACTGGTACGCGTAGTAAAGCTGAAGACGGCGGACGGAGAATTGGTGCGGCCTATTGCGAAACTGACGCTTTTGCCAACGCAAAATGATATATTTACTTTGTAATATTTGTACGATCTTGATAGATACTTATGCAATTTTGAAACTTGAATTTAATTTCGAACTTATCCCAGTCGTTCAAGGCGGCCGGTATGTTCGTGCCCATATGGCAACTCTATTTTGCTTTGTTATTCCAATGG